ATTCTAATTCAGAACACATAGACATGGTTTGTGATCTTTCAACCTACACAGATTCTAATTGGTACTACACTACACAGGATTTTTAACTCAAAAATGGAAAAAAGTAAAAAAAGAATTGAACTAAAAAGAAATTAAAATGTAAAACCAATGTTGTCTACCTACTAGAAGTACCTGTTGTCTACTCTACTAGAAGTACCTGTCTTACCTACCTACCTACCTACCTGCACCATATAATCTACTAGAAGTACTTGCAGTACCTACCTACCTACCTGCACCATATAATCTACTAGAAGTACTTGCAGTACCTACCTACCTACCTACACCATCTAGTCTACTAGAAGTACCTGCAGTACCTACCTACCTACCTACACCATCTAGTCTACTAGAAGTACCTGTCTTACCTACCTACCTACCTACCTGCACCATCTAATCTACTAGAAGTACCTGCAGTACCTACCTACCTACACCATCTAGTCTTGTATAGAAGTACCTACTTTAAAATGTAGTCTAGTAGAGTCAGACTACTTTAAAATGTAGTCAAGGAGAGTCAGACTACTTTAGAATTTAGTCAAGGAGGGTCAGAATACTTTAGAATTTAGTCAAGGAGAGTCAGAATACTTTAAAATGTAGTCAAGGAGAGTCAGACTACTTAAGAATTTAGTCAAGGAGGGTCAGAATATTTTAGAATTTAGTCAAGTAGTGTCAGAATACTTTAAAATGTATTCAAGGAGAGTCAGACTACTTTAGAATGTAGTCAAGGAGAGTCAGAATACTTTAGAATGTAGACAAGGAGAGTCAGAATACTTTAGAATGTAGTCAAGGAGAGTCAGACTACTTCAGAATTTTGTCAAGGAGAGTCAGAATACTTTAGAATTGAGTAAAGGAGGGTCAAAATACTTTAAAACTAAGCCTAGGAGAGTCAGAATACTTTAGATTTTAGTCAAGGTGAGACAGAAAACTTTAGAATTCAGTCAAGGAGAGTCAGCAGACCTTAGTATTTAGTCTAGAAGGTTCAGAATACTTTAGAATAAAGTTAAAGAAGGTTAAGTTAATTCTTTATATATTTTAATCTCCTTTCCTCTGTATCTCGTTGTATCTATTTTCTTCTTTTATATAACATTTGGATCATCTTTTCTTTATCTTCTCTTTCCCTTTTTCTGCTTTCTTCTCCTCTTTCATAGTCTGTTTTAGTTCTGTAATTTTTTTTATTTCCCTTTCAAAATATCACCTTTTTCTTCTATTTTTCCCTTTAAATATTATTTTCTTCCCTGTTGCAATTTTTTGTCTTTTATTTCAGTTGTTTACTCCTCTCTCCCCTGGCTAGCTGTTACAGTAACCGTTGAGTCAGGAATAGTTTTTCCTTTTAAGGTTGAAATCTGGGATCTAGTATAGGAAATCTGTATAGTGATGTAATAGTAGTAGTTTATATAGTATAGGAGCCCTACACCTGGTCCCCGCATAAACTGCTCATTTTGCTAAGCTTGTCCTATCAAGGCAACACACAGGCCTTTATACACAGAACAGGACACGGCAGAAATACTATGAGATATATCAAAGGAATGTATCTGTATTATCCATTTCTGAAACTTTTTTGTTTCTCAAATCTTTTAATGAGTTTTTAGTCTTTTGATTGATTTAACACACACATTTATCATCACTTCTTTCTCTAATACCCTTTTTCATCGAAAAAAAAAATGTTTTGATGGTTTTCTTGTACCATAGTTTCCTGATTTTTTTTTATTTGGTATCTTTTGTTTAAAATCTTTTTAAAATTAACTTCAAACAAAGTATAGCAGATAAGTAGTAAAAAATCTTTTTAAAATAAGAAAATAGTCAACAAAAAATTAATTGTTTAAATATAATTAAAAAGTAAACTAGCTTTTTCAAAAATATATATTATTTGAATCGTGCGATGAATCATCAAATATTTATCTAATTACCCCGGGTTAGTTGAGCGCATGTCCGTGTGTGCGCGTATGTATAGAATGAGCACCCTGCTGCCCGCTACAGTGCGCGCAACACCTGCCCAAAACTGCGCTCAGTCGTCAAACTGCGCGCGAACAGGAAATTTGACCGTGAATCACAGCCCCGCAATCCTTTTAAAATCAATTTAGGCAAAAATGAACGGTTCTGGCGCCGGGATGGCGCCTCGCCTTTATTGTGCTTAAATTGAAAGTTTGGATTTTATACGACTTAAAAAAACTGAGGAGAGAGGGTTGTGAAAAATACCAGTCAAAGTCCTTTTAGACCAGTTATAACGTGAATACAACAGTAAAAATAGTTTTAATAAAACTAAAGTGAAACAGTGATTTTGTTAATGTATAGGTTAATCTACTACTAATAGAATTCAACAGGGACGCTAATATAACATTTTAGTTGATGTTAAATAGTTTGTGTTCAGGGGCGTATACAGGAATTTGTCCGGGGGGGGGGAGAGGTACAATAGTTTTCCTTTTATCTGAATGATTTTACGCTCCTGATGTTTTTTTTTACAATGAAACATCATTAGAAACAAGAATATATAGCGTGATTTGATAGGATGGATTCAAAAATAGGATTGGATTATATTGTTGAGAATAAAGAATATTCTACTAAACTTGGATCAGGTAATAAAGGGATTAAAAAATATGGATAAAAGGGATAAATTAAATATTTTGGTTGGGTGGGATAAATCGATCAATGGTTTTGATCTAGTTGAAAAAAAAAAACAGTAAGGATGGAATTGGTTAAAAATCAAGAAGATTGAATTTGAAAACGGTTTTAGATAAATTGATTGTAGCGGGTTTGATGGAGCATCATATATCCGAAATATAAGATTATACTGAACATTAACTTATGAATAAAATGATGATAGCTTGATGATGGTCTCCTCAAAATTTGACATTTGTATTTATCATTCAATCCAAAGGGGGTACAATATCAATACATGG